ATTCTTTACCACTGAGCCACTAGGGAAGCCTCTATAAATACTATACAGCTGTGAAAAACAAATAGGCCAGAACCAGAGATCCAAACAGGGATGAGATTCTCAAACATAACAAGCAAAACAAGCAGGCTGCAGAAGAACACAGTAGGAAACATTTAAGTAACGTCTTAAAACATATAAAACAATATTACATATTGTTTAGGGATATATATATTTATAATATCCATAAAACTGTAGAGAAATACAAGAGAATAAACTCTAAATTTAGAACCCTTGTTACTTCTGGAAGAGTGGGGAAGGAGATGATCAGGGAGAAATTTCAACTGAACAGAAAATAGGTTATTTCTTAAGCTGAATGGTGGCTCTCCCAAGTGTCTGCATGTTACCCTCTGTGTCTAAAGATTCCTTTGCATTTTCTAAAAGTCAAAGCTGCCATCCTTAGACTCCTGTTCCTCTTCCCAGAGATTGGGATTGGGGTGTGGGGGGTGCTGCATCCCAGAGGCAGAAGTGGGGCTGTGGCAAGACCAGAGTTCCTCAGACCACAGAGATGAAGCTGACCAGGATCATGGTCTGCCAACCAGCCGAGAGTGGTGTAAGCCTCCTCCATTGTGGGTGGAGACCAAACCAAGGGCCCCTGACTCATGGGACACCCCCACGCCCGCCCTAAAAATACCAGCTCTGACCGCTGAGTAGGACGCCTTGGTGACATGACTCCCGTAGCATCCCCAGCCCTCCCCGACTGCCCCCACGGCCCACACACCCCCCTGCCTGGGCCACTGGCCTGTCCACCAGCAGGTGCTCAAGGACAGAAGGAACAGCCCCAGGGTGAGGTCCCTGGGGAGACAAGAGCTCAGCGCTGCCTGGGGACGGCCCCTGGACAAAGAGCCACCGCTCCTCAGCCCAGTCATCCGTTCCTATCAGAAGAGTGACTGACTCCTGGGCTGGTCACAGGGCGGGCGCAAATAAAAACTTCCTGCCAGCGGCCAGGCCGTGGTGGCTGTACCTTCCTTCTGGCAACGCTTCATGGAGCTGCTGACACTCTCCAAAGAGGAGTAGCATAAAGGAGGGGCAGCAGCAAGAAGCCAGGAGGAGGGGCAGAGAAAGGCCTGGCCCAGCAGAACTCCGAAACCGCCGGGGCCAGAGAAGGCAGCCCAGTCACTGGGCTACAGTTTTCTGGAAGAGACGGCCTTGAGACATCTGTCAGTGCAGTTCCCTCATTCTCCAGCTGGGACACCAAAGCCGAGGGAGGGAGACTCGCCCAAGGCTGCAGGGACAGTGGAGACAGAGAGGCGAGGAAACCTGGATCCTCTGTTGGCCAGCTGTCCACTCTTCTTACCATACCTCCTACTGTCCCCCCTCTTCTTCCTTCCTCCCTCCCTCCAAGGGCTCAAGTGAGCCATGAGCAGAGGGGAAAAAAGGGGGCAAGAGAGGAGGTGGGCCCACCGCAGCGAGCCACCTGTAACAGCACTGGAAGGGGCCGCCCACAGAGCACTCCCTGACGCTGTGGTGGGGACCAGGGGAGGCTGGCTCATCACCTGTGGGGTGCTGGGTGCTGTTGAGGAAATTTGGGCCAGATGTCCTCCGCAGCCTCCCACGTATATACTTTCACTGTTCCAAAGAGGGATGGAAGGACGTCTGAGATACCACAAAGGACGATCCATCCAGAGAGGACAGAGCATGGTCCAGAGGTGGCAGAGGATGAAGGGCAAGTTATGCTGAAGCCTGGAACACCTGACCTTCCTCATCACCTCCTCCTGAAATCCCTTCAACATCCTCAAGATCAGCACTGTTAGTAAGACTGATGTTCAGCAGCTGGCAGCGACGGATCACTTATACTGTGCCAGCCCCATGCCAGCCCTGCGCCGAGTGCTTGACAGGCACTGTCTCATTCATGTGCACCCCTCTGGAGGCAGCACTTACATCACAGAATCTTACAGATGAGGAAGCAGGCGCAGCCCCCGTCCAGGTGTGCTAACTCTAAATCAGGCACGCCACATCGTGGGTTCTCAAAAAGCAGCTGGTCTGGCAGCCCCAGCATCGCTGCCACCAGCTGGCTGAGCCGCTCTGGGGATGTGGCCCTGCAGTCTGTCTAACAAGCCACCCAGGGGATTCTGATGCATGCTCAGGTTTACCAACCAACTGCTCTGATCACTTCCCAGTGCTGCCGACAGAGCGGGGAAAAACTGACACTTCTCTGCCTGGCAGTCAAGACTTTAGGGTTTTTCCTAGCCCAATTGGTCAGCTCCCCCCAACCCAGGAGAGCCTTACCCCAAATCCTCTGCCCAGTTTCCTAAGTTCCAGAAGGAGCTCTGTACCTCATCACCTTGGTTGGGCCTGGCCTTGAAGTCACTGCCCTACAGAAGCCCCCTGATCACCTGGCACCCCCCAAACTGCATCACACCCCACTCAGACTCAGTGCCAGGCAACTGCTGGGACACTACGCCTTCCAGCTAGCACTTAGGGCACATTTCTGCCCAGTCCACAACATGTTCCTGGAGGATGGAGAACCATGAGCACCATGCCACTCCACACAGCACCACGCCAGACTGTCAGGACCTGTTTGCTGACTATCCGGAGGAAAAAATAATGTCTTGGGAAGCAACTTCTGGCTCTCACCCCAACTCTGCCACTAATTCTCTGGGACAAGGGCCTTCCCATCTCTAGGTCTCAATTTTCTTATCTGTGAAATGCACCATTATTCTATTTTCTTCTACTCTACTCATCCTTTGAACAAACCCAGCAGTCTTACCCCAGACACTCTTATCTAGTGACAGGAATGTACATGTGAAGACTAAAGAGGTCGTTGCTCCCACCCTTCCACTCCAGGAAAAGAGAAAGACAACAAACAAGCAAACACTAAATATTACTAAATATTACTGTTTCCCAGACACATACAGTGTCTCCACACACACGTTCTCATTTGCAAATAAGCACGGTCATTTCAAGGCATGATGAGTGTATTAAAAATATATATAATAGTAATATGACAGAAAGTGAAAAAATGAGTTACTTTGCATAGAAAGGTCAGGGAAGGCCCCTCTGAGGAGGTGACATTTGAGCCGAGACTTGACAGATAAGGAAGAACCAGGGTGGAAAGAGCTGGGGAAAGGTGTTTCAGGCAGAAGCAACAATATCCACAAAGGCCTCAAGCAAGAATAAACTTGCCATGTTGAACAGGGGAAAAAGCAGGCTGCTGTGGTTAAATCACAGTGAGTGTGAGAGTAAAACAGAACCCAGGAGAACCCAGAGAGGGAGGCCAATAGCCAACCTCTTACAATTCGGTGTTCAAATCAGGTCGGCCAACCCAACCCAGGACATCCGGGGCCCAAGTCACAGGCAGGACTGGGGGGTAAGGGTATGAGTCAGACCCCATGGCTTCCTGGGGCCCCAAAGGCCCTGGTGTGGGAATAGGGGCAGGCAGCAACCCTCAGCAGGAGTGCCATGCCATGCCCACGGATGCCCATGGGGCATCAGATTCACCTAAGTATGTAGAACACAGGACACTCAGGGCTGCTGCCTCCAGAGGGACATGATCAGGTGCTTCCATGAAGTGCCAGGCCCTGATCACATTATTTTTCCAGGACACAGCCAGGATAGTGGAAAGGAAATAGTGCTCAGGGTTCAAGGCTTACTAGTCTTGGGCAAGTCTTAACCTTCTGGGGACTCCGTTTCCTCATCTGAAAATTGAGGCTACTAATCATGACTCTCTCCTAGGGTTGTTGAAAGTTTAAAAGAGATACTAAACATAAAGCACTGTGACTGGCACACAGTTAAGTGCTGATAAATGTAAGCTGTTACCATTACCCTTATTGGTTTTTCACTACTTCAGTTCTCTCTGCTGTAAAACAAGGATGTTAATACATCATAGGATTGCTAGGAGCCTGAGCTAATAAATATTCCAGCCTCCTAATGCAGTATCCATTGTTAGGAATGAAAAAAAAAAAGACAGTCCTCTTTCCGGATCTCTCATCAGGTGCTGAATTCCCCTTTACCATACCACATTGTTTGGAAAATGAGTAAGAGCTGATTAAATTACATTTTGACAATACTGTGAAATAAAAATGATGCATTAGGAATCCACAGATTTCTCTGCACTGTCATTCTGCAAGGGGGTGGGGATAAACATTGCTGATTCTTCTGCATCACACACAAAAGTCCCCCCCCAACCAAAACAGTCTCACCCGTCGCACAAAATTCCCACCCACAAAATTCCCATACAATTAATGAATGTACAATACAATCACTTTCATGTACACACAACCTTGCACTCTCCTGCAGATAAATATTCTACAGTGGAAAACACACACGTGTAGAAACTCCACACCCAAAATCGCTCCCCCAAACTCACTACAGTTGCCCTGCAAATGCACCCAAATGTTGCCTCCAACAGAGGGCAAAATATTTTCAACAGGAACAGTAAGTACAGAACGAAATCTGTAATTAAACGCTAGAGTTCAAATCCTAACTGTGCAACTCTCTAACTATATGACTCCAAATGCCTCAGTTTCCTAAACTGTAAAATACGTATAATAATAATCAAATTCGTTTTGAGGGTGACAGTGACAAGTGAGTTTAATACATGTAACGAGTTAAGATCAGCACTTGGAAAGCGCCCAACAAGCTATTTCCCTCTTCATTACAGTGTGCACACTGCTTCCAAAACTGGTCTCCCATACTGTAAACAGATCCACGCCCGCACACACACACCCACCCCGCCGGTCTGCACGCCTTGCACATCCACTGCACGCTGGTTCCAGACGCACTCGCCCACTCAGTGCGCACGCGCGCCCACCACCCTCCGCGCGGGTCAGGGATTCCCCACTCAGCCGGACCTCGCCACCCTCGGAGGCGCCGCGTGCCTCGAGGCTAGCCCTTGAGCCAAAAAGCCAGGCCACCAGGCCGGGCCTGACCTCCCTGCGCCACGCCCGGTCACTGCCGAGACTCGGAACGGCCCAGTCTCGGGTTCCCTTCCGTTCCATCCCCGCTCCGCCCAGCCGGCTTACCTGAGGGTGGGGACCCTGGGAGACAGCGCCCCGTTCTCCGCGTCCAGTCCCGAGTCCAGGGACAGAGTAGAGGCCCGCGCCAGGATCTGGCCTCACAGCATTCAGCAGGATCCCAGCTCCGGGCTGGGGGACCTGGCCAGGGACTAGGAAGTGCTGGGGGCCGGGCCGCCCCACCCCTGGGAAAGTCCCCAGCGATTGACAGGCCGCTTGCCCAATCACGCGGCGCCGTCTGGGCTGGCCCGCAGCCGCCGGGGTGGGACCCAGCGAAGTAAACAGCAGCCACCGGAGGTCAGGGGGCCGGAGAGAGTCTGCAGATTGGCCGCCAGAGTCCCGTCCCGCTGGCCGGCCCCTAAGTAGCCTCCGGGCCACCCCTCGCGGCACTCCCAGCTGCGGAAACTCCGGGCGCCAGAAAGGGACCACCCCGAAAGCCGGAATTTCAGAGCAGAGACGAGCCGCAGAGATCACCCACCCCTTCCTTGGGCCGAGGGGCACGCGGACTGGAGCGCGGGGAGGGGATTTGCCAAAAAGCAGTAAGCATTTGTAGCTGAGCCAAAGCTAGAGCTCCGGGTCCCAGAGTTCGGTCCCAAGACTTCTTACAAGAGCTCACGGAAATTCTGAGCTGAAAGTACCCTTAAAGAATCTTACTGTCACAGCTGACGTTTTTGGTGCCCTTACAAGCTTCAGATTTGGTAACCTTTATTTAATTTGCTCAGCCACCCTAGTGAGATGGTTTTCTATCCCCACCCCCACCCCCCACTTTTATTTTAAGTCATAAATTAGAATACAAGGGACAGGGAGATTAGAAGACCTCAGTAAGTGGCTGAACCAAAGTTCAAACCCAAGTGGGCAAATCCGGAGCCCACCTCCTACCGTCTACCTTTACCTGGGTCAGATCATGCAAACAGGCTGTGAGTCCCCAGACCTGGCCGGAGCAGTAACATGGTGAAGATTGGGAACACTTGTTTTTTTAAGCCCATCATTTTATTTAAAAGAGGGTAAATTTTAACTTCATAAAGTGGAAGGGCCTGGACTTCACTGGCAGTCCAATGGTTAAGATTCAGAGCTTCCATTGCAGGGGGCACAGATTCCATCCCTGGTAGGGGAATTGAGATCTCACACACTGATTGGCCAAAAAAAAAAAAATCTTTTTAAGTAAAATTACATTTTAAAAAGAAGTGGAAAGGCCTTGTAATAAAGAATAGCTTGAATAAAGAACAGCTTTATAACAGGAATACAGAACAGCTCTTTAAATTGAGGTAATACGGCTTTATGAAAAACTTACTCTAAAAGATTCATTTCACTGGAACTATGGAAAATTTAGTGATTGACAGGCCCCCATCCTCAGAAAGGATCTGGGGACCTATTCCATATAGGCCCTCATTTTACAGGAAAGCTCTGTAAATTAACTGTGACTGTACGTGAAAACACACACACACACACCCCTACCCAAGTACTCTCAGGCTTTGTGACATCCTATGATGCTTTTAGTTACTTCAAAGGGGTTGTCAAATTCTCAAAACAGTATTAATTCTAGTTCATCTTAATTGTGAAAATAAATTGAAGAGAGGGAGGGAGAGAGGGATGTGAACCCCAAACAAAGCACCATTGAGTGAAACCAATACAGAAGGGTACCAGGAGATTACAATCTTGGACTGATTCATACTGCAGCTTTCAGGCATCCCCTCACCCATTAGGGTCCCCCAGTCTAGTTTTTGTTCTGCTCTTGTCTGTAATTCCCAATTTGCCTTTTCCTAGAATGCCCAACCCAAGTCTTCTCATGAACCCTGAAATTTACTTTAAAAAATGAAGTCTCCAATTATTTGCGTCTTGTTTCCAAACTACTTCAGCTGTTTTTCTAAATGTCTGACCTTAGAGAATTAGGTGAATTGTTTCATTCCACAAAGTGCAGAATGATTCCTAGAGGTGGGCTTGTTAGACAGTGGTCTAGAATGGCATAAAAAGGTCACATAGTCATCTTTTTGCCCGATTCCTTACTTTCGGATTATTTTTCTTAACATTTACAATGTGTGAGAAGAGTCATCTCTTCCAAGTGATGACTCCACTCACTGCTTTCGCCCTTTCCAGTCTGTTTGACTTTCAAACATTCCACCATGCTAAAGGCCATAGGAATATTGATCACAATCCCCTATTTGGCAGATCAGTAAACTGAGTCTTCAGTGTAATAAAAGCAGGGGTCCCAAACCTTCAGAATCTAATGCCTAATGATCTGAGGTAGAGCTGATGTAATAATAATAGAAACAAATGTAACACTCTTGAATCATCCCAAAACCATCCCTTCCACTCCAGTCCATGGAAAAACTGTTTTCCGTGAATCCCGTTCTTGGTGCCAAAGAGTTTGGAGACTGATGTAGTAAGGATTTACTTAAGGCCACACACACTGAGTAATAGAACTAGGGTTGGAACCCAGGACCTTGGCTCCAAGTCATATATACTCTTTCCACTGCATTATGTGTCCTAATTTTTCTTACTTTCTTACAGAAACTCAACATTCATGATGATCACAGGCTATGGACCTAACTAATGGGCTTCTAACCACTTAAACACTGATTTCCTGGGTTGCCTCTCTAAGCCTCTGTTCCTCTCTAAAAAGTGGAGATATGATTACCTACCCTTAGGTGATCATGATAAATGAGATCATGTAAGTCAAGCCCAGAGCTTGGCACACAGTAGGCATTCAAGAAAAGATAGTGGTTTATAGATGTGAATCACATGCATTGAGTAGAACTTTAGTGTTAAACCCAGGAATGCAGCCTCCCTAGGTTCCATCCCACTATCCATAAACTCTAGGGGACCCTCAACTTTGGGGGCTCGGCAGGGTGGGAGACAGCCCCCCTAGATTGGCACCCTCTGCTCCTTCCAGACCTGAAAGGAACTTGCCAAACTGGGAAGCTGAGTCTGACACTGAGAACTGAGTGACTCAGGCCACTGGGAACCTCTTGCTCTTCCAGAGTGAGGACAGGCACCTATGCAAATCCCCACCTGGGAGGAGAATCAAAAGACCTGTGTGTGGTTTCATTTTGTTTTGTTTTAAGGCATGCAGTTACCCAGTCTCCTTTCTACTGCCAGCCCCCTTCTACCACCTCCACCAAGGCTGCTCCAAAGTCACACCTAAATCCATGTTTGAGAGAAATAAAATACATACCAAAAACTCTCAACCTGTAAGTGGTTAAGCTCTAAATCAAGTGCCTAAAGAGGAGTGAAGGCTGCGTATTAAAGACATGAGGAGGTAACATCAATGGAATATTTTCTGTGTGCTAGGTCTGCACTTTCACATAATGTATCTCCCAACCAGCCTCTGAGGTCAGAACCATTATAGCCCCCACTTCACAGATGAAACTGGGGCTCTGAGGTGTTCGGTAGCTCCCACTGCTGCAAGTCACTAGAACATGAAGATCCTGGCTCTTAAACTCTTTAACACTCTTGAGCATTAGGCTGTAGAGTTTTGCCAGCTTGCAGGGCACAGAACTCAACATGCCAGTCCTTAAAGGGTCCTGAGAAAGGGCCCTTTTCTATAGGGATGAAACCACAGCATGGGCCAGGGACTTGTCAGAAATCCTACAGCAAGTTTGGAATAGTACTTAAGTCTCCTGCTGCCAGAGCGATGCTATTTCCACACCTCAGTGATGGCAACAGAGCTTCTAAAGCAAACAGCACCTTCCTCACTCCTGCAGGTTAATTAGTGAGTCAGAGCCTTGGATAGGAGTGATGAGCAACCAATGAGCTAAGAAAAGATCATTCCCAGGTCTGGGTACCTCCTTAGATCCAGTCCCACGTCTCCATAGCCTGGGGGCAATCTCAGGAATGGAAAACCCTGTGATAGATTCTAGGTGCTTTTTGGTGTTGGGTGTGTGCGTTTGAGAGGGAGATTTCAGTGATAAGTGAGAAATGCATGTCAAGCGCATGGTGTCAGCTGTAGTCTTACGAGGTGATCATATTTGGGAGTAAAGACTAAATCAGTGAGCAGAGCCTATGGTCCCTGCTTCCCACCCTCAGCCTGAAAAGGTGTTTTTAATTCTATTTATTTCCCAAATAACCACACAAGAGGATGGATACGACCGTACTAAGAAAGCCATAACTTTTCACATACATTCAGCACTTTAAGATGAGTTAACCCATTTCATAGTCACAGTTTGCCCCACTTTCAAGAGGCATGTCACGCAAGGGTGAGAAGGTGGGTGCTGGAGTCAGACAGACCTGGCACTTACACCTCATGAGGACTCTCCCCCAGGGTCCTCATCAATAACAGGAGGGTTAGAACAGTGCATGGAGTAGAAAGAATGGAACACTATGGAGCCTGACATCAGTGAGAGGTGACAATGATAATCATGACCCAGTCCACAGGGCAGCCAGGGATCGTTCATCTCCTTCCAGTGAGGACCTCAGAGCCCAGAGCTGTGGAGGAACTTGCCGTAGACCTCACGAAATTTTCTCGGAAACATCAGGCCTTAGGAGGCATTTCTCCTGACTGTTCCTCCAGTGTCTTTCCTATTTTTCTTTTTTCTTTTTCATTCCAGCTGTTTCCACTGCATCCCTGGGCCTGCCTTTTACTCTAGGTTTTCTGGGGCACTGCTGGAGGAGAGGCAAGGGCAAAGTGACACGGGGGAATTCCCAGCCATGGCCTGTAGCAGACGTGGCCAACCCAGGCCCCTCCTACAGTTCCTAGGAGCCCCAGGCCTCCCTTCCTCCAGCCGCTCTCCCTCTGGCCTTCCGTATCTGCAGCTCAGAATGTCAAGTGGATCTGGGTTTGGAGCCAAGCTTGCCCCTTGTCATCCTCCTGGAAGTGGGAAAAGGTCAGCCAGGCTCCTCCCAGCCCCTGAAGGAAGCAGACCTGAGGGACCCAGAGCATTTCCTAATCCTGGGACGCCCTGACAGGGCCCTGAGAACAATCCTCCTTCAGCCTCACCCCACGGCCTCTGCTATGCACCCTCTTCTGGGCCACTCCCACTTCTCCCTTCATGCTTCTCCAGCCCAGAAGCCACTGTGACGGTGACTTGGCCTCCGCTCCTTGCCCCTCCTAGCCAGGGACTTCCCTGGGCTGGCCTCTGACCGGCTCTGGAAAATCTGGACTGTCTGTGATCAAAGAGGAGGCCGCCTCACCGCTGTCTGCCAGCGTCACCCACTCCTAGCGCCTTGGGCTCTC